AAGACTATTGTATCGTTAAAAATTATTTTTTTATTTTGTACAAACAAAATAAATATATTGAAAAATATAAAAACAATAAAAAATTATACTTCAGATGTTAATTTAGTATCAAAAATGTAAAATATTTGAGTAGCCCAAGACATAGCCAAAGATTGAAGCTCCACAGCACTGGCGAAAATGTCATATTTGACAGCATGTTCCTAGATCCCATCTGATATTTCAGAATGTACTAAAAGAAAAAAGAATATGTATTTCTTCATGTGCTTCCATTTTGTAATTGACAATGAAAATGTCCTATTTTCATTAAGGGATGAGATTACATCATCTCTTTCTGATAGATGGGCTGGAAATTCACACAATCATTTAGTGCATACCCAACATAGTATGTATTAGCAAAAGGTTTACAGAGTTATTAGTTTTTGAAATAATTGACTAGGGAGAGATTTTTGTTACCACCATGTATAGTAAAAACCTTGTTTTAGTTTTTAATTCTTTAGATAATCTAATGTACAGTAATAATGGACATGTAATAATCTATGGACATGTAAAAATAAGAATTCATTCAAATAAAAATGTAAATGTAAGAAAACACAACTGAACAAAATACTTGAAACATATTTCTACAAAAAGCAAAACCTTTTTTAGTTTAATATAATAAACTAGAGTTGTTTACAATTTTAATCACTGGATGGTAATCCAGTGATTAAAATTTTTTATAAATATTTGTTAAAATTAAGTTTAAAATTAAAATTGAAGACAAAGTCTGTCAAATAGAAATTACCATTGAATAGTCTATTGTTTTTAGCCTTTAATGATGTTTTATTTTTCTTAGGTGTGAGGGCTTGTCCCACTGATGTGATAAGCCTCAAGTATATTTGTCTAATTGATATAGACTAAGAAAAATAAAAATTACCATTTATACACTTTCATTGTTCTGTAATATAACTTTTGATAGTCAATTTTTCTTTATAGGCTACTTGTTCATCATATTTAAACATTTTTTTAAAAAACAATGAAACAATATATAATGAGAAATTATTTATTGTGACATCACAATGCTGGTTTGCAATTTTTAATTTATTTAATTTAAAATAAATGCTTTCCATCTCAACTTAGTAGTGTCTTGCTCCTGTATATCATACTTTCGTTTAACAATAGAGTACCACCGGTCATCTTTTAACTGCTTTTAAGAAAAAAACTTTTGAATTAAAATAACATGACTTCCAATTTGCATCGGAAGTTCATATCTAGTTAACTGGGGTCTCCTGCTCCTAAGGTTTTCATATATTGGATTTCATCTATCTAACTCTATTCTTGAGATTAAGGAAAGACAGATAGATGGACAGACAATGGACAACAGTGGGAATCTATAAATCTACAATATTTTCAAACTGCAGCCCAATTAAAAACAAACAATTTTTAAAATTAGTGCTGGTAGAGTTATTTAATTTAATAAATTTCAAAATAAAACTTTCTTTTTCTTTCATGAAAACTTGGAGGAAATGCTAGTCTTAAGTATTGCCTCCAAGTTTTTATCTGTTCACTGGTTGCAATATTTATTTTTGATAAAATACAATATACAAAATGCTTGCTCACAGTAAACTTCTGTTCAGGATTTTAGATAAAAATAGGAGAATGATAGCTAATTCTCTATATTTGGTTGAATTGTTATATAGATTCTTCCAAAATAATACCAATATTGAGTTTTTATCTTTGTAAAATCACTTCATTCTATCATCACTATGAATTTCTATTAATGAAAATTTACATTTGTCTAGTTGAGTATTGAATTAAAAAAAAAAAAAAGAGAATAATCTATTATAATAATCATAACTTTCGATATCCATTTCTTGAAAAGATGTTATGAAAGGAATACATTTAAAAAAATTAATTCTTAAAAAAAAGTTCTTTAATGTTGCATTCAGTTCAACATTTAAAGATTTCAAACAATTGTAATTTTATTTTCAATTATATTTGTTCAAACTGTTATGTTCAAACTGTTAGATATATTTCTAAACATTTAAAGAAGAAAAACAGAAAAATCATCAGTCTCAACTTAACTTATAAGATCATTTAATTAATTAATATAGTTTTTGCTTATCAATTATAAACATTGCATCAATGATTATCAAATTACTGCTTGTAGCTGTTTTATTATAGAACTCAACCTTGGTTACTGCTTGTAGCTGTTTTATTATAGAACTCAACCTTGGTAAAAAATTAAACAAAAAATAATATCAAGTCATGCACAATACTGTTTTGCAATTTTCCTACTAAATCTTTATGATTAAATTCCAATGCATTTAAAATATTTTCACACAGTTCAGAAAGACACTGAACACCAATATCAAAACTTAACCATCTTATATGATTATAATTAAGTAATACATTATGCTTTTCATTATTATTCTTGCATAACACAGTAAATTTATTTAGTAATGGACTATTTGCCTTGATTACATTTATTACTCTTTTGCCTTGTCAATTCCACATCATTCTTAATAACATTTCTGCTGATGAGCATCTCTTGATGAACAAAATAATGTAACAGAAACATTTTGTTGGGACAAGTTTTCTTAAACAAATTTAGTACAACAATTCTTTCACTTTTTATTACTATTGCACTACTGGTGGTTACAGCATATAAATTAGACTTACAGCTATTTTCCTGTAAAATATGACAATTTATTTATATTCCCACTGCAACTTACAATCACAAATGCAAAATCTTTAATTTTTTAATACAGTGTCCCTCTATAGTCTGACGTTTTTTAATCCGACATGCTCAGTAGTCCGACGCACCTCCTGTCAAGGTACCCGTCCCCGTTACGTGTCTGCTTGCACAGAAGCATGTTGCGATGTGAATCTCCCCATCCAATTCTTACTCGATGACACACATTTCGTGTGTTTTATGTGAGCAGTTCTGTTCGAACAGTTGGAGTAGAAAATATTGTAAGTTACTGCTAGCAAAACAATGCGAAATATGTAATTATTTTCGGTAATCCGGACACTTTTGGTAATCTGACATACCTTTGGTCCCATACCTGTCGGATTATCAAGGGACAACTGTATTTAGTTTTATTGACTAAATTTTGTTGGGTTATGAACTGTTCATATTTACATCTAAATTTTATTTAGTCAATTTTATAGTTACATGATTTTTTATCTTCAGACACATGTTGCATTTTCTGTAGCGTAGAAAAAAAGCTGACAAGCATTGGCAAATCTCTTGGAATTTAAAGTAAATCTAGTATGTTTATTAAGATACTGTTACTCTGTATGAACAATCATTGTCATACTGTTGAATCTTGATTTTATAAAAGTCCACATGATATCTTATTTTACATGAATTAATTTTTTAATGGTGAAATTTAATAAATGAAAACTTTTGATATTTATGTGTGTATGGTGGCTGCACAAAAATATCTTGGTTGCCAAAGTGGCCACACTATGCTGCAAATTACTTGCTCTGTCATTTTGTTATCAGTCTATGCAAATTAATGTAACAGATTTATTATCTTATGGACAAAGATAGACATTTCAATGCTGATGAGTTCACTTAATATAAAATATTGGTTAATATATAATACAAAGCATGCTGTGGTCCTGTGAATTCAATAACAATTATATCATTTAATACAAAGCATACTGCTTTCAGCTTCCCTGAAACCATATGAGCCAAAGTGGCAATAACAAACCACATCATCATAGGAGTGTTTTGACTTTAAGCATTGAACACAATGCCAATGACATTAATGTTTATGATGATGTTGGCAATCAGGTATGTTCCTCACCAATAATTTTCATTTCATCTTGAAAAATTATACTTTCTTTTATAGTTGGTGCTTCATGTGCTGTGACAATGCTGAACAATTTGTTAAGACAACTCAATACACATTAAAAACCAGAAGTTAATAGGATTGGGAGATTTTTAATTAAAAAATCTGTAGTTTTATAAAAATAGTGTTTATTCTTGATTGCTTTAATAACAGAAATATCAAAACAATGAATTGCAATATTAAATACTGTAATTAATTTGTAATTTTAAAATTCAAACAAACCATTTCCTTTGAAATCCAAGCAAATAAGTTATTTTTAAATTTGTAAAATTTTCATGTATCTAGCACCTAGACCAGGGATGGCCAACAGTTTTTGCACCTGGGCCGAATTGGAAAGAAAACTTTTTCCACGGGCCGAACCAGAGACTGCCCTAGGACGATTTTCAAGTGGTGCGAGATTTCATTGTGGTGTCATCCTGTAGAGACTGAATTGTAGATATAGATTACAGATACATTTTTCACATTATCATGCTTTATCAACACTCTATGCTGTACTTACCAGCTTTGTAAAGGAGGGTTAACTCTAAATGCACAGTGAGTTGTTGACTTTTTTTTTATTTTAAACATCAGAATTTTTCATCGAGCTATTCAGACTTGAGTACCTAATATTGAAAGATTAATCATGGGCCACATAAATTTGTTAGACAGGCCAGATCTGGCCCGCGGGCCATATGTTGGCCATGCCTGACCTAGACTCAATTTGGTGACTAGGCCAGCCTGTTATATCCAGTAACATTAACTGTTATTCTAATAACTCTAACCAATGTAAAAAAATAATTATTGATTCTTTTTTGAACCATTGTATCTCAATATAGTTTATTTATGTGATGCTCCAAACATATGAGGGCTATTTTTTAAATAAGGTCCATTTGTGAATGAGAGTGAGAATGGCACAAGATTGTAGCAGTGTGCAAGAGCATCTGCTTTCAGCATGCTTTATGCATGTTTAGATGCCATTTGCAGCCATATCGTCTGTCTGTGTGCTGAACTGTAGATGTTTATAATGTTTAAGAAAATTGAGTCGCCCGCCGACTGTAAGATAGGATCTGTTATTTGATTTCAGCATGAAAGATCATGGTAACTGTCTTTTGGGACAGTAAAGGGACAGGTTAGTGGATTTTATGCCAAGATGCATAACAATCAATTCTGATGCTTATTGTTTGACCTTAGAAAACTCCACCGTGCCATACAANCTTGGATAGTTGTATATGAAATTTATCAAAAAACTTCATAGTTCATGAAAATTAAGTCTATGTATCACATTTGAAATGTTGAATTTACCCGATTTTCAAATTTTAAAAATTGCATATTCTTGATGATTGAAATTTAAATACATGAAATAAAATACTATTATTATTTGCCAAAATTAACTGAATTTACTTTCAGTTTTACATGTTAAATTTGATGATATAAATACAATTTGTAGTTTTTTATTTTGAATGTAGCATTGACTTGGATTAGAAAGACATCTAAGAAGAATGATTTATTGCTAAATTCTTGACTGTATTAATAATAAGACAAGTTTAACATACATAACATATACAGTTTGAATATTAAATGAACAGTATAGTTTATTTTATAGTTTTACTGGTGTAGCTCCCCTCTGCTCCATGGGCTACAATCTCTTGTGATACCATTTGTGTTTTTTTCTCTAGCCACCATGGTTAAGCTAATCCTCTTATTTCCAGTTTAGACTATAACAAAAATTTCAACATGATTTCATCAATTCCCAGTGTTGCAATTTTATATTTATTTCTTTTTGTGATAGCTTAAAATCATGACATTTTTTCTTAACTGTATAAAATTTTATTTTAAATTACTTACCTCATTAGCACCACTGAAAAGTGGTTCTCCAGTATGCATTTCAACTAATATACATCCTAAACTCCACATATCAATTGCCATGTCATATGGAATACCCAAAAGAACTTCTGGTGACCTATAAAACCTACTTTGGATGTATTGATATATCTATAAAAATAGAAATAAAAACAAAATTAATTATGATTGTATTATAAATGTTTTAAAATTTATGATTTACGGTAAAGTTTAAAATTTATATTACAGTGGAGCCTGTTTATCTGGCTCAAACAGAACTGAGCTCAATCCAGATAACCAAAAATCTGGATAATTCAGAAAATTCATTAATGACATAAATAATAGTTAGATGTACATTATGTTTTATTTATTGCACATTATATATACTCTTACAACAATATTAACAGTATAAAGTAAAAGACATATCTATATACAGTATCAGTTCATTGTTTTCTATCAGCTGATACAGTACACGTACATAAGTTTCTTGACCATTTATAGGGTAGAATTTCTCTTTAGGATTTTTTTCAAGGTCAACTGGTAATTAGGCTAAGTGCTCCTGTAGGGAAACCAAAGGACTAATTTGAATCAAAGTAATTGTGATATACTATATCATATTTATTTTTGTTACTAGATCCTCAGTTATAAAGTCACAAGTTTTCAAACTGGCATTGTGCCAAGGGAAAACAGTATTCTTACAGCTGCAAACATTATACTCAGGCAAAAATATACTACTTACAAGTTGGTTCTTTGATTTTTTTTTTGCATATATAGGTTTTCTTTATGTCTATCTTTCTTACTCCGGTTAAACCGGAGATCCAGATAAATGGGGTTCCACTGTATGTAAATTTATAAAATAAAATGAGATAGTACATATTATAAACCCACAAAAGGTTTAAATAAATGTAATTAAAAAATATCATTTATGAAAAATCATATAAGTATTCAAACCTACTATATGAATATGAAAACTATTCAGAAATTAACTTCCATTAGGCTGACATAGCACATATGCAGAAATAAACAGTGATGGTCATATGGTCAGCTATTTTATTAAGTACTTCTTGTACAGTGAGTATAGAAACATGGTTCATGCCATCAAAGCTCTTGCAAAATGTGAAGTAAGTAGTGCTATTGCAAACTGCAGGATACAGTGCAGCTGAGATTCATCGAAGGATGAATGTTGTGTACAATAAAAACTTCATGAGTGATATTGTGTGAGAGATCTAAAATTGTTCTTAAAAACACTCAAAAGTAACACTCACCAACACCAAAATCAGCAAAAAAGTAGAAATTTTACTGTAAACTAAAGTTTTCATCTGTAATGGTGTCCACAATTTATGGCACATCAAATTATGTATTGAAAATGATGAAAATCATATTGAAAATGTTATTTATTAATATTAGAATCAAATAAAAATATTTTGTTTTAAAAGTATGTGTTAATCCTTATGTACCCAGACTTTGTGGACACCCTGTATATTGTATGAGAGAATGGTGATGGAAATTTCAGGAAGAATGAACAAATGTGAATTATGAAGCTGGTAGAAAAAAGACTGTGCCAACTGCCAAACTTGTTGAATAAGTGGACAGTGGTTTGTGAGTGAGTGTCAGTTCACAATATCAGAACTGTCATACCATTTTCCTAAAATTTCACAAACAATACCATGAAATTGTGACCTCATCTCTGGGATATCATACATTTTGTGCAAGGTAGGTGCCCAAAAACCTTACAGACTGTCACAAAATTCAGTGATTAGAGTCTTCATTAGTGTTTTTGCAATGCTACCATGTGGAGAGCAATGCTTTTCTGGACAAAATCGTTACAGATGACAAAATGTGAATTTAGTTTGTAAACATGGAGACAAACTTGCTAAACAAATCCAAGAAATTAAAAAAATCACTATCCTGCAGAATGCCCATCAAAAGTGGTTAAATCAATTAAGTCTAGAAATGGAGCCCCATGCAAATGGGAATGACTTAAGAGGAGCATATGAAAAGCTAAGCTTAATCTCAGGGAAAAAAGAAAATGCAGAATTGGGGCTCTGAGAGATGAAAATGGAAACATTTTATTGCAGAAAGATGAACAAATGCTAAGATGCAGATCAACATATAAATTAAAATATATCTGGTAACATTATTACTACCAAGGAAACGGAAATTTATATCAAATTAACAATATTGAACTTTGTTTATGACAGAATAGATTATAACTATATGTTTAAGTGATCCTTATTAATGTTGTCCAAGAAATTTAAATAGCTTCTATCATTTTCTACATAATAAATTATCAATGCATTAATAATTGTGATACTGTAAAATGGGGTGACTTTGGCCAACTTTTTCAAAAAAATGGGATTAAGACTAATACACACAGAATTACAATTAATACATTAAATAATAATAATATCAACTCACACAGTATCATAATAGTAACACTTGTGATAGAAGTATTTTAATTTTTAAATCATGCAATTAATTTTCTTAAAAATTATATGTTGGTCACATTCACCTTTATGATGGGGTGAATATGTCCTGACTTTGGAAAGTGCATTTTATGTTACATTTAACCTTCTATGAGTTAAATATGACCATTAAAAATATTTTTAAAGATTACTGTTTATTTACATTATTCTTTTAAAGTTTAAAACTTTATAAACCATTAAAATCTATATAAAACAAGATAAAAAATTTTTTTCATTCAAAATAAAATGATATTAGAAATAGTATCATAAAATAATTATTACAGACATTTTGATCACAAAGATATTACTGGGATTATTTTTTCTTATACCATTAAAAAAATACTTGTCATAAAGATCACAATTTTATCAAAACTTATCACAGATAATATTATCATCAAAATTGTGTAACAAAAAAAATTTTTAAATAAGAGATTGGTATGTTTTTTTACCAATTCTTTTTCATTTCAGGGATTGAAAACATTCCTTGCCTGTTAAGAGCTTTCGGTTCTTGTATAACCTGAATTATATTTATATTTTCATAGTAGAAAATATCTTCCTTAGCAGGCCACTTCCAATAAGATTGCTGATTATCATTATAGTAACTATGGCACCTTTAGTCTACTCTCAGTATTTTTCTTGGAAATTTTGAGCCTTATTAGATAATCCATGTTAATAATGCAATATGGTTCAATGCCATCCAATGTATGTGCCAAATTCTTGTAAAACTCTTTTATAGTTTCAGTAGAAATTGTACCTCTTTGTGTTGTGATACTAGCAGATGTTCATATAGCTAGCTCCTTACTGTATTACAAAAATCCTTTTATAAAATCATATGCAGGTAAATTATCTCTAAGCCAATGAATTTTTGCTCCTTTATGGTCCAAATAGTTCTTTATGACAGAGATGGACAACCTGTGGCTCACATAAAATATGAATAAATATATCAATTTCCTAGCTTAAAGAAGAAATTATGAAGCAAAAATTCAAATGTTATTTTCTACAACTTATGTATGTATGAATAGTTTTTCTGCAATGAATTTATAGTAAAAATTAAAATAAAAAACCAACTAACAGACATATTGAAACTAATTTAAAGCTAGCAGTGACTAATATTTAACCAAATATTTCCAATATATTCTGTTTACATCAGTTTCAGAAGCTAAATTAAGTATACCTATGCTAATTTATAATTACATATGAATAAATAATTGTGATTTACCGACATTTTTCCCCTCTTTTCTCTTTTATGTGGCCTGCATCAGTTCAAAAGTTTTGAAATGAGGCCCTTACATAGGAAAAGATGCCCATCCCTGCTTTATGACATGTCATAGTTCAGTTGTTGTAATGAAAAATCCAAATTCTGATGCCATAAGATGGTAACTAATGATTCTTTTCCTCTTCTGCAATCAAAACTGTCTGACCTCCTTTCAAAGAATGTTTCTATTAATTTTATTTTGTGAAGTTGTCCTTGCAATGTTGAAATGTTGAAGTAAGAACTAGCTTGTAAGGAGTCAAAGTCTAGTTATTATTTTGTTTTGGGCATTATTTTTAGTTGTTATTATTTTCTATTTGGAGACATTTTATTATGTTTTTAAGGATGGAAACTCCCAAAACTCCAAAAATAAACTAAATTTAAAATTAAAAACAAACATTTCACTTGCATATGTGACTGATCCCATAATGCAAAGACAATCTACCTTGGAAAAAATTGTCTGGAATTATTATTAGGAATTATTTATTTTGGTGACAGCTAAGCGCTTAACTTGTAAGAGAGGTGTATTCTTTGTTTTTGAATTTAGTTGATATTGGTGGAGATTTTATTAGTTGTATGTCCCAAGTGGGGAAAAACAAATTTTTTTATCAACTTTTTTTTTCTTATACATAATTGATTTTGACTTGTTTTGAATATTTGAAATAATATTTATTACTACAGTCGACCCCCCTATAACGTACGTTCCTATAACGACAATTCCTATAACGTAGCGAAAAAATTGTAGCAACTTTCGTATAACGTACCTCCTATAACGTCGTTTCGCGAGAAGATTGATAGAGTCTGGACCAATAGTGGATGAGCAGCCGAACTACTT